CAAGGTTCAATCACAACGTCATTCACGTCACAATGCACCAAGGTCGCCATGCGTTACAACGTCGTCACATGTTACACGACGTACAGCTTCGTCACGACGTGCATCATCGACATGTCACGACGCTTTTAAAAAAAAATGACGAATTTATGTTCGAGCCGGTCGATGGGTGGGGGACAGTTTTGTTGCCTCGACAGATCGAAAGTTTCATCATAATACGATTCTACAGAGACGCATTTTAACATTGGAAAATTTAAAATGAATTGACGGGTGGAGATTTAGCATAGATCGAAATATCGTAGCTGCAAGAGAACGGCAGGCGATATCACATTAACCTGGCTGTTGGAATTGTACGTTTTTAAAATGACCGAAATTCCCATATTTATTGCTCGATTACTTACTAGATACAATTTTCTCAAAAATTAGATCCTCGAGAGACATCTGATTCTATCTAGATAATTATAAGCTAATGCAACTGAAGAAATATATTCTTGTAATTTAATAATAATTATTATAGTTATGCTGTAGCTAAAGAACAGGTATTAATTTATACTAAAGATTGCAATGTGCAAACAAATTGGCATGCACCAAAGAGAAACGATAAAGGGAAATTAACCATTGTACGATCAGTCGGGTTAACTCAGGAAGCGTAGATGAGAATTACATGAGTTACCCAATCAAGATGTTTACGTATTTGTAGCAAACACATATTGATGGAGCGAAGATGTATGAACAGCGTAGTAGAATTCATATGAAATCTAACTATTTTTTAATCAAACGAGAATAAATAGATATAGAATAAGAGCCGCCATAAAAAAAGCATTATGTCACAGCTTGTAACTTATCGTATATGAAGGATTTCCACATAGATGATTAGTGTTGTCAATGACATAGTGGACTCCAAACATAAATTTCAAAGCAAACACGAATGTAACGTGTACCAACCAATGAGAAACTTCAGACATCGAAAATACGTTATTATACGTTTGTAAAGGTCACGGGATGAAAATAAAACCGAATGTTGCGCAAAAAATAACGAGAAATGTAGAAGAAAAAATGCCGCGCACATATTTGAGTAAGAAATCGATGGGAGATGGCCATGGCGGCAGTTTTTATCGTACATGGGCTTGGCACGCCGGCCTCGCCAATGCCCGTACACATACGAACAATGATGTCGAGAAAATGCTGGGCCTTCAAATTTAGAAAAGTTCCTATACTTTTACGTGCACGCATCATCGTGCTTAAAAGTTAGCCCCCCGCCCCCGCCGGTATACCCATGTATGTACGGCGCACAGAAGCAACCATCCGGGTTGTTGGCGCTGGTGACTGGCCCGCTGCGCAGAGAGGGCAAATTTTTATCCAGTTTTGGAGTCACAAAATTGCGAACGGCGTGTGAGCTTGCGCCCAAGCACTGAGACGTCGCTTGGCAACTGCGTAAACCAGCAGACGATTTTGCTGTTCTCGTTTCGAACCGAATTCAGCCTAGATATTGGCTCACGATGCGACGGAGAATCTGCCTAAAGCTCGCTCGGTATATGTAGTCTAAATGACATATTGTGAATATAAATAGAAATATCTGGATAAGCATTTGTAGTTTGAGACGATCCTTAGCGGTTGTGAGGTGGAGAGCGGCCAAGTCTGACAAAAGCACGCCGTTAAACGTGGGTAAATGGAAAGCTCGTTTCTCACTCAATTCGTCCATATTATTTCTAAAATTGGCGCTGCAGTGTTTAACAGTACATGAAATCGAAATAGCTAAAAGACAGTAAAAAACGCCGTACCTTACCGAAGCCGATATATTTTGGGGCCAAAATCCTTGAAAAGTACATACTTGCGCAGAACGCCCTGGCAAAATTATCGAATTTCTACGCATTCGCAGACTACTTTATAACCCGAAGGGAAGTTGGGAATTAGGCAAAGACGGGCGGGGGCTCGAAATAAAGAAATGTTACGATTTAGAAAAATTAGAAGATTAACTGCATAATGTTGTGTAAATAATGTGTAAAATTTTAATATTACAACTGCTCATTGGAATTTATTTTTGAATAACTGTGATTGTACTTAGTTAATACAGTTCAGCTGCCAAATAAAACACAGTACATAAACAGAAATATTCTCAGTCCGTTAATTTGCTATCTAATTATAAGGCTGAATATTGTTACGGCGCTGCATAGGTTATTATAAGAGCGCTATGGTTGCATATTATGAATCACTTGCGTTTACTGAATGTTTAGACTTAAACACATGGGCGAAAAATTATTGTCAAGCTTCCAAATTCTCCTACACAACCCCACATAAGCGCTGTTGCGATGTGTATGTGGACCAATAATAACTGCGTCATAATGAAACATGTTGTTGTTATTACGAAGCAAGACAGAAGAATTTATAATCGATATTTACTATATTATAATCTTAATTGATTTGTAGCATTAAGTCTGGCTCACATACAAGCTAGGAAACTGCAATGGGTTCAAGATAAGTGCACAATCTGCTGGCAATGAGCTACCATAGGGCACGAGGTCTTGTCGTAACGGGCTGTCGGAAGGGAGGTAGCTACAGATATGTACCCGAGGTAGATTTTAGGTTGATTTAGTATTATGTTTATATTTTTATATGAGGTATGTTTAGGGTTTTGGTACGGGTAGAGAGTTAGGGTTTAGGGTTAGGGTTAGGATTTAGGGTTAGGTTAGGGTTAGGGTACACATCTTCTGTTAGTACAAGTTCTGGTACACTGTGTATACATATATGTACCTCGGGTACATATACTGTAGTAACACGTTAGCGACAGAACGAACGCGCCTTGAGCACCAGTAGGCAGTAGCGCACTACTATATAACTACTACTGACTACAAAGGCCACTAACAATTTAGTAAAACGACACTATCAAACAACCTAATCGCATACTGCTACTAACTGTACTAAGTGGTTTGCCTCTTAAATTTGCACTGATTCCTGAAAATCTAACATTTACTCGCCTTTTTTAATTCTGTGGCAAATTCTTTTACGCTTTGATATTTGGGAAGTAGCGCCAAAGCGATGTATAAGTGCATACTCTGAGTCCTATATGTTATTCACGACCACACTAAGATGTAAATCCATACTCAAGAGCCAGAGATCCATAGCAATAACACAACAGATAAAAAAAACAATTGTTTCAAATACATGCTGGAAATGTTCATTAACTTGGTAAGTGTCACCGTGCCTAATCTACTTGCTTAAATTACTTAAATCGTATTGTGTAAATAATTACTATTAATTTAATTTAATAAATCAATTTTAATTAATGACTGCATATACTGAGGGCCCTGATATTTAAAAAGTTTAGAGCATGACTTGAGCCTCGCAGTGTACTGCAATTTGACAAGGATATCATTAATTGTAATTTCATGAGGCAGTTAACATCTATCGCTAATTGTATGTCGCTTCTCACTTAAAGGCTCACAATGCGGCATACCAACGCTAATTTCTCACAGTATTGACTAGCAAAATACTTCGTGCATGCATAATCACACTACCTATGACAAAATAAACTCTAGTTGCCCATTTCACTGCGCCGTATGCTAAAACCACAAGAAAAAGGTGAGAAAACTGGCATTCTGGCGCAAAACGCCGAACTGTGTTGCCAAACAAAATAGCCTCGAAGTGGTACGTGACGTCACATTTTTATCATTGCTGCGCCCAGTAAGACCGCGTATCCGCAGCCAGACGCGCTGCACGGTGCTTGGGGTATTGGGGAAGACTGTGCAAGCAACATCGAGAATTTCAACAACATTGAGGTATTTTCAAAATACTTTTTGATAAGACAACGCGCAGTGGAAATGGGAGGAACTAGGAGTTTTATTTTGCCATAAGTAGTATGATATGCAACACCAAGTATTACTAGTCCTAGTACTGTAGAAATTAAGCGTTGATGCCATTGTGAGCCTTTAATGTAGTAAAAATCGCCACTGTATGTCCTATTTATCACATTTTGGCGAAGGGGGCGAAATGCCAGGCGTAGCCTTGAGGCACACGATTTGGAAATATTGCCTACTGACAGCAAAGTAAGGTGCTAACCTCTGTAGAGGCTGTGCCCCTCTATGATTAAGCTATTAGCAACACTCTGACAGCAAGTCTAGAAAACGCGGAACGGCAAGTCGATTTTTTCTGTGAAAAATCAATAAGTTATCCGGCTACAAGATAATGATATTGATAACATAATACAATTATTTCTTTATTATGGTATCAAATATGAATAAAACCGTAAAAAAAAAAAAAATGTAAGATGGTACAATTATTATTAAAGTTTTTGTCAATTTAAAATATTTACATGTAATAAAATACAAAAAGTCCAGACAGAGCAGCAGTGAGACACATTGTTAGATTATTTAATCTAACAATTGAAGACTATCTGTCATAGAAATATTGATTTAAATTGCACAGTAGTGGGGACTGACTCAGCAGCATACACAGGTTTCTGATTTAAATTGCACAGTGACTTAGTAATCAAACATTGAAAACATATGAAGAATATATATAAAATACTAGTAGTAAAATCAAACTGAACCGTGGTGATTATTACTATTCCGTGGGATAGGGTGACTGTTTGTACTTGTGTGTATATACGTATCCGATGCTCGGACGAATATCCACGATATATATATGTCCTTTAAGGACGTGGATATTCGTCCGAGCATCGGATACTAGTTCGGTGGCGCTATTCGTCCGAGCGAGTTTGTACTTGCATGTATATTTGGAATATCCACGTCATTAAATTATACATCTGACGGCATTTACTTGCCGCCGATACAGACTACCTCTGACGGCAAATCAATATGTTCCGGCGGCAAATGCCGTCAGTTGCCGTCGTAAAATTCGATCCCTGCCTTGTATACTTGTGAAAACAGTGTTCATACAGATAAAAACCAACACCTAGCTAACAGAAGTGAATAGATAAGCTTTACAGCAAAAACAATAATAACAACAACAACACTGATGAGTAAAAAAAACTCGTGCACAACTAGCATTTGTAAACAGTAATTTTATTGTGGTTGAAAATTCAACGAGAAATATACTGGACTTAAGATGCTAATACACTTGACGTACTGTGTTTGGGATACCCCCTAGGCATGCCCTCCCGCGCTATCTCGGATTATAACACAATAATAACTGCAACCATGGTAACATACCTCACGATTCTATATCCTTCAACCCCGACCCTAGATGCACTATTAGTGGAGGAAAATATCAACTTTACACAGAAAAAAAATTAACACTAAACATTGGGAACCGTGCGAACGCAAACGCTCGGGTGTTTACGACACTGTCCGGCAGGTGGAGGCACTAGTTGACAATGAATATTACGTTCTTACGCGTGAGTACGATACGAAAACTCTTTTCCCCGAATAGATCGCACGCGCTACGCCGACGCGCGTAGCTGTCGCGAAAAATCGCTAGCGCCGTCATTTCTCCCTCCGACACCCACGCCCCGTTACTGCCAAGGCGACGATCACTTATAATCACAACTACATTTCGATCGTAGAAATTATAATTACTATCATAAGAGTCACAATCGCCCTCACGAGTGGGACGCACTACCCGGCACCAAACTATATGCAGCGTGTTCCCCCCGCGAGAATGCACTATGGTTATAATTGGGCAGTCATTTTCTACACACGGGGCTCGCGAAAAACATTTTACTCTTCTCTAGCCGTTGAACTGGGTCGCTGAACTACTCTCACCGCGACGGGTTCGTGCGTTGTAGCCATCGCCACGGCAACGAGCGAGAAATCGCATTCATTCGGCGTGTAATGCGGCGAAATTTCGTCACGCTGTCCCTTTGGCGGCACCTACGGTTAACTCCGTGTATTTCACAAACCTCCCCCCCCCCATTCGTTGTATCGCGAGCACGGGCGCCGCCGACGCTAGCGCCACCTACGTCACGCGAGTAAACCTCTCTCGTCCGCGCGCCAACGACCCCGCGACCTTCACCCGCGCAAGCGCACGGTCTTCGTTGAATACTTCTGAAAGGCATAGAGTCTCCTACGCCACCCACCCGAGCTCCCTCCCCGCCCCTGCCCCCGCCGGTGTTGCGAGTTAGGGGCAGTTGAATACTTCTGAAAGGCATAAGAGCCTCCTACCCCACCCACCCGAGCTCCTTCTGCCCCCGCCCCCGCCGGTTTTGTGAGTTGGGGCCGGTGGCAATAGGTGGCGCCGCCGTGTGCGCGTGCGTCTACTAATTTTCGTTGAATACTCCTGAAAGGCATCGAGTTGTCCACCCCACCCACCCACAACGCTTTCCCCCCGCTCCGCTGGTGTTGGGGCGGTTGGTGGTGCCGGTGTTGTGGGCGGTTGTCACTAGGTGGCGCCACGTGCATCTACGCGAGGCCGAATCCCTCGGAGCACTCCTGTACGGCCTTGAGCAGCATCGTGCGCAGCTTGTCGTACGTCTCGTATGTAGGCAGGTCCAGCTGGTTGAAGCTGCAATGATAGCAGAGAGAGAGTGAGTGTGCGATGGTGGAGAGAGATGTTCTATTATAGGAGAGGGAGAGAGAGAGAGAGACAGAGACAGACAGAAAGACAGACAGACAGACAGCTTGTCGAACGTCTCTTATGTAGGAAGGTCCAGCTGATTGAAGCTGCAATGATAGCAGAGAGAGAGTGAGTGTGCGATGGTGGAGAGAGATGTTTTATTATAGGAGATGGAGAGAGAGCGTGAGTGTGCGCCTGATGTGGGATGATGGAGAGAGATACTGTAGTATAGGAGAGGGAGAGAGAGAGAGAGAGAGAAGGAAGGAGGGTGGAAGAGGGAGAGGGAATGAGAGAGAGAGAAAGAGCGGGAGAGACAGAAACAGACACAGAGAGAGAGATAGAGAGAGAAAGAGTGAGAGACAGACAGAAACAGACAGAGAGAGAGAGAGAGAGAGAGAGACCCCATTCCCCACCCTCCCTCCCTCCCCCCCTCCCTGTCTCCCTCTCCTCCGCTACCTACCACGTGTGAGCGGAAGGCAGGCGGTCGGTGCAGCGGTCGTCGCGATGGATCTGGAACTTCTGAGTGCCGTTCATGCCCTCTAGCGAGGCGAAGCCCTGCAGGGGAACCTTGGACGTGCCCGTCACAAACTGCAGGAACTTGGCGCGGTCGGCCTGGTCGAACGAACGCAGCGCGCGCCAGAACCACTGAATCTGTACGGGAAGAGAGAGATGGTTAGTGTATGCACACGAGAGCACGCGCACACATACAGACATGAACGCGCACGCACGCATGCAGGAAACAATTTGCGAGCACAGAATCTTACACAAAATCTTGACACGTAATTACAAACGTAATTTTAATCTACACAATCACACCTTGTCGGTTAATTACTGAATTAAATCGAACCAAAACCAAGGTCCAGCCAACCTGATCTACCCAACATGGAACACAAAACATGACGCAGCCCCCTACAGCTACAGTGGCGCCCCCTGCACCTACACCGACGCTCCCTAGAGCTACGGCGGCGCCTCCTACCTGCAGCGAGTTGTTCTGGTACTTGTGGTATTCAGAGTTGGCCTTGAGGTCGTCGATGTCGACCGTGGGGAGGCCGGAGATGAGCAGCTCCAGCTCCTGCTCGTTAAAGATCGCGATCAGCTTCTTCGGGATGATGTCGTAGAAGCCCTCGAGGAAGCTGTTCAGCTGCTGCCGGATTGCTCCTGTCATCTTCATCTGTGGGGGGGAAGCCACGACAACGATGATGCTGAGGAGGATGCTGGGGGGGGGGATAGCGGGAGGATGCTGCGGGGGATGCTGGTGAGAGGAAGCTGTTCAGCTGCTGCCGGATTGCTCCTGTCATCTTCATCTGCGGGGGGGAAGCCACGACAACGATGATGCGGGAGGGGGATAATGGGAGGATGCTGGTGAGAGGTAGCTGTTCAGCTGCTGCCGTAGCGCTCCTGTCATCTTCATCTGCGGAGGGGAGCCACGACAACAAGAGGATGAGGAGGATGCTGCGGGGATGGTCAGAGGATGCTGAGGGGGATGGTTAGGGGTCTAGTGACCTCCCAAGAGTAATACCATGCAGCGAGCAAAAACTAATACCCCTCTACCTCCTACCGACGAATCATTACCACCCACCCATTAAACTCGCAGGACGCGCTACAGAGTGTGTGCTGCGCTATGACGGGAAAAACACGCCCGTGGCGGCCTCTATCCACACTCCGCACGCCAGCAAATCATCCGATCGACCCAAGGCGCACGGGGGGGATGGACAGATCGACGCGCTGTACCTGACAGATGTGCGGGGGGGGGGACAGAGCGACGCGCTGTACCTGACAGACGAGGCGGATGTACTCCATCTTGTTTTCGTCGGAGACGGGGATGTTGCGACCGTTCGGTATCAGGTCCCGCACCTCCGTCACGCCAAACTCCTGCACCTGCACGTCGCCATGGAAACGCAAGAGGAGAGGTCAGCGACGGTCGCCGTGACAACCGGAAAACTCCGCGTTGCTCGCTACCAATTAGTAGCCGACGGGACACTAGCTACTATGTTTTACTACGTTAAAGTCTTACTACTGTAAAAACCTAGTCTTTAAAGGGATACTAGACTCCAGGGGGCCGTTGTCAGAAACAAAATTAGTCGCAACATTAGTCTTACCATTAACTTCCACTCGTAAACCGTTGACAGAAACATCGTAAGGTTACGAGAACGAAAAATCCTCGGAAATTTCCTCCTAACATTACGAGAGCCCAGACCCTCTCGTAACTTTAATATTAAGTTGAAAATAACACATTTACAATGCATGCACACGTACCACGTTCTCGAGCGGTGAAGCGCCGAATACTTTGAACACAGGGTTGGGTTTTCCTGGGTTGCAGACGAGAACGACGGCTTGCTGGCCCACCCGCGTCGTGTACTCATCAATGGTGTTCTTTAGTTTCCTACACACAAACACAGGTAATTAATACACATGCACGCACGCTCACACGCACACACACGCACGCACGCACGCACGCACCAGCATGCACACACGCACGCACGCACGCATGCACACACACACGCACGCACCAGCATGCACACACGCACGCATGCACACACACACGCACGCACCAGCATGCACACACGCACGTACGCACGTACGCACGCACACACGCACACACACGCACACCAACGTACGTACCAACCAGGCACGTACGAATGCAGGCACACACACAAACACGTCTTAAGCACGCATGCACGCACGCAGGAACGTATGCTCACTCTTCCACTCGCACCCACGCACACAGTAACGCACGCACACGTGTATGCATGCACTTACGTAACACACGACACAAAACTGTGCACTGACTGCACGGGTCATCGTAGAGTAGCCGTGACTGATAGATAGCACGTCACCTACTGTACCCCCCTCCCCCACCCCACCCCCGGGGGGGGGGGGCGGCAGCTGCGTCGTCCCGCAATTAATCAACCTTAAATTTAGCAATTAAAAAATGTCACTCAGCACCACTTCGCTGCCTGCGACACGTTATTCGATTGGTATGGTGATTACCCGCTACGCATTTATCAGGTTCTCTGTGATTTTTCTTCCACGTAACCAGCAGAAACTGGTGACATGATATGGAGTAGGTAGACATTGCTGCTGTGGCGGTGTCGATGTTTTTGGCACGAGTCCGCTTGCCCGGTTTATCGTTCATTATCATAATTAATAAAACAAAACAATACATTTACAAATGGCGTATGGCATTTGTTCTCTTGTTCTAAAGGTTTTCCACGCTTGCCACGATTCTCGCGTTACAGTGTGAGAATTTGTCTTGTTGTGCAGAATAAATTCATGACCACGTCGTTTTTCATCAAATATTATTTATATGTGGTTAGCCATCATAATATGCATAAATTACTGTGATGTAGAATAAATGTGTATGAATTTGAATTTTGTGATTGATTCTCATCCAATCAACAGCCTTGTGATGAAGTTCCTGTTATTGTAAGTTTTCTAATAGCTGCGATGTGTTTCTGTCAACGCTCCTCTCGCAACATTAGCATTAGTCGTAAGTGTTATCTTAGCATTAACTTTAGCATTAAATTTATGATGTTTCTGACAACGGGCCCCAGGATTTTACTGCATACAACTGTACTTATTGTATAACTTGTTACTTGTTACCAGATACCTAATTTAATTGTTATAATTAATTATACATCAATGCTACGAAATTTGAACGGCACCATTACTGGTTACATGCACATACTACATTACTATGTTAAAGTTTTACTACTGTAAAACCTAGTGTTTAAATTATAGGGCGTTTTTGTTTGGTCGGATCCACGGATCTCGATCCACTGAACCCGACCCTGCTAGCGAGGTGGATTCGAACGGGATCCAATATAGCGGCCCGTGCCTCAGCCAATCACAGCTTGTTCTTTGTTATAAACCATCCCGTAATAGGTCACAGCGAAATGCAAACCGTTAAAAGTGAGTTTGCGTTTGTTTGGGTTAGGGTTCGATCCACTGGATCGAGATCCGTGGATCCGACCAAACAAACACGCCCATAGTCTGACGCGTGAGACTATGCATGAGAGCGCGTACCTCGGTACTGAAGGTCAGTTCGTAGCCAAGGTCGTTAGGGCTGTGTTCGATGAGGAAGGCGAGACCCTGGTAGAAGGAGTAATCCTCACTCTCCATGTCCGTGTGCCTGCGGGGGAGAGACAGCGCGTCGTGATGCGGTCGCCGTGGTTACGCGATCGCGGTGGTTATGCAATCGCCATGGTTATGCCTGTTGCCGTGATTACGCTGTCGCTGTGGTTATGTGGTTGCCATGGTTACGCTGTCGCTGTGGTTATGTGGTTGCCGTAATTACGCTGTCGCTGCGGTTATGTGGTTGCCGTGGTTACGCGATCGCGGTTGCAGTGGTCACGTGTCAGCGACAAGTCTTCACGCTTCTCATAATATTTACATCAACCGGATTTTACATTATTTTGCATCACTCACATTAAGTCTTAACTATTTATTATCCTCTACATCTATTGCTACACATTCGATATGACATTTCTCATGAATATTTTCCATCTGATAATATAGCGGAAAATTTACGTAGCTGTAATCTATCGTACAACGTTTTCGCGTTTCCCACGGCGACGGCTCGATAAAGATGCTTCGAGCGACTGCCCTCCGCTACACTTACTCGACTAGTTTAGGGATAACATAGTCTAAGGATATGAATGTTTCTCATCTGATGATATAGTGAAATATTACGCAACTGTACTATATTATCCTACAACGCGTTTCGCGGCGACACTTACTTGACTAGTTTGCCGAGGATGTGCTTGTAGAAGGAGCGAGTGAAGTAGCAGTCAAGCAGCTTGTTGTCATAGATCGCCTTGGCGATGATCCGACCGACAAACTGTGCAGACGAACGACAGAAGAAACACGTTACGATCACCTGCGCCATCGCTCGAGTATAACGATTCTGAACAGTCTTCCTGGCCGTTTTCATATTTTTTCCCCAGCCAATAAATTCTTTACCGACAAGAACTAATTTGTCTACATGCTTTTTAGTTGGCGATTCATCCGAGACAAATTTTAAATAATTTTAACTTAAAATTGTAACACGAGACAATTGCCGCATGCAGGTGGCAGCACCGCTTATCTTAAAACAGCCAAGATGGTTGCAATTGCTGCATGCAGGTGGCAGCACCGCTTACCTTGAAGTAGTCGAGATGGTTGGAGTTACAGTGTGACGATGCGTTAGGTAGGTATGTGACGCGATCGCCAGGAGACGTGCAGAACAGAGCGTAGTTTGGATTGAAGATCTCGCGAGAGATGATGGAATACCACTCCCTGAGCAGCCCTCCGGCATCCTGCCCCTCCTCACCTACAACACACACTAACAATTAAACACCGCGCAACGGCACGCGACGCGACGCTACACACACACACATGATGGAATAGACCACTCCCTGAGCAAGGCCCTCCGCATCCTGCCCCTCCTCAACTGCTACAACACACGACTAAATTAACACACGCAGGCCCGCCAGTGCGGCACGCACGCCACACCCAGCCATGATGGAATACCAGCTCCCTGAGCAGCCGCTTGCTCCGGCATCCTGCCCCTCCGTGCACCTACAAGACACACACTAACATTAAACACACACGCTGCACGCACGCACGCAGCGCACACACAATGCGAGGAAATACACTCCCTGAGCAGTCCCTGCTGCATCCTGGCCTCTCACCTACAAACACACAAGCAATTAACACACGGACGAGCGGCGCGACCAGCACGCACACAGCTCGGGAGTCTCGACGTGGCGCTGACGCCGGCACGCACACACATGATGGAATACCACTCCCTGAGCAGCCCTCCGGCATCCTGCCCCTCCTCACCTACAACACACACTAACAATTAACACACGCGCACGCACGCACGCACGCACGCACGATGATGGAATACCACTCCCTGAGCGCCCTCCGGCATCCCTGCCCACTTCACCATAAACACACACTAAGAACAATTAACAGCAGGCCATACGCGCGCGCACGCACCGGCACAGCACGGCATGTGACCCCGCACGCACAGCCGACACACATGATGGACATACAACTCCCTGAGGCATCCCTCCTGCATCTCTGGGCCCGCTCCTTCACCTACAACACACACTAACAATTAAACAAAAGAGCGCGACGCGACCGCACGCACGGCAGCAGCAGTCGCAGCAGGTCGGTCAGCACGCACGCGACGCACGCCCACACACAACGGGCCCACAGCACTACACACACATGATGGAATACCCGATCCCTGAGCAGCGCCTCCGGCATCCTGCCTCCTCCTCACCTACACCACACACTAACAAATTAACACACGGCGCACCCACGCACGGCTACGCACGCACGCAACGCACGCACGCATGGCGCAAGGGGTGGCGCCTCGGCACGCACACACACGCACCGCACACACACGACAGGGCTGCGATGGAATACCACTCTGAGCAACCCTCCGGCATGCCTGCCCCTGCCTCACGCTACAACCACACTAACAATTCACACACGCATCGCACGCACGCACGCACAGCACGCACCACAACACACACACAGCTTCGTGCACGCACGCATGCACCACACACACACACTCACAGCATGATGGGAATACCACTGCCTGAACAACCTCCTGCCGTACGAACAACGGCTCTTGCTGCGCACTTACAAACATACACCCACCTCTAGAGCAATGCATTCAGGCCCACACCACCCCTACGAACAACGTTACAACGCACCCCCGCACCTAGGAACAACCCCCCGCCCTCGTACGTAATAACGCCCCACCCACCTACGAACAACGTTACACACTTCCGCACCTAGGAACAACCCCCCCGCCCTCGTACGTAATAACGCCCCACCCACCTACGAACAACGTTACACACACCCACCTACGAACAATGCCCCCTTCCCAACCCACGAACAACACCCCCTTCCTCCACTTAAGAACAACGCATCCGCACCTTCGAACACGATGTAGAAGCGGTTCTTCCACTCGTCCGCCGTGCGGCGGTGCAGTTCGCGGAACGAATCCTCGAAGACGAACTCGCGGCGAACGTGAACGGCGAGATCTTCGCGGCGCGTTCCCTCGTCGAGACGTTCCAGCTCCTGGCGGAAGTAGCGGCGCTTCACGTCGAAGTCGAGAACACGCGTGTGATCGACGAGAACGGAGAACGGTCCGTCGCTGAGCGGGGTCGTAGACTGACGCAGGATCTGGTTCAGAACTGTGCGGTGCGTCTCTGCAAAACAATCGCGGTGTTATACGGAGGGAGAGCGGTGTTATATAGAGGGAGAGCGGTGTTATATAGAGGGAGAGCGGTGTTATATAGAGGGAGAGCGGTGTTATATAGAGGGAGAGCGGTGTTATATAGAGGGAGAGCGGTGTTATATAGAGGGAGAGCGGTGTTATATAGAGGGAAAGCGGTGTTATATAGGGAGAGCGATGTTATATAGAGGGAGAGCGGTGTTATATAGAGGGACAGTGGTGTTATATAGANGAGGGAGAGCGGTGTTATATAGAGGTAGGGGGTGGTTGTAGTGGGACAGAGGGATGCACAAGGGTAGAGAAATGAATAAATATATTCAAAAATAATAAAAATTATGAAATAAATATATAAACCACGTAATAAAAACTTAAATAAGGTTTGTAATAATTTACATTTAAGGGCTTATTAAGCTAAATTGTAACTTAAAGATTTATATATAATCCTAATCACTTATAACTAATAAGAGACAATCTATCTGATGTCAGTTAATATAATTACATAATACATATAAAACCAAATCACATAAAACTAATATTAGGTACTAGGTATTACACCTGATCTTATTTAATATAATCATATAACATATAAAACCGAATTACTTAAAACTAATAGAGACAATAAAAAACAACATAATAACAATAATAACTCGTTTAACATAATTATATAATTGTATATACTGCATATACCTGCAAACATGATGAATTTCTGCTGGTCTGGAGGAAGGTTGGGAGCTATGGATTGTACAGAGCTATCTCTCGACAGCAAACCCTGGGCTGAGTCGACGCTCTGACTGTGACTCGGTAGTGGTGACACCGGCGCCATCTCAGCCTGCGTGGGAGAGAGCGCGCGGAATACGTAACATGTAGATATGTGCTGGTCGGTTTTACTACTGCTGCTGCTGCTACTGATGATGGTGATGCTGCTGATGATGGTGATGATGATAATGATGCTGCTGCTACTACCGCTGCTGCTGCTGCTACTACTGCTGCTGATGATGATGCTACTACTACTACTACTACTACTACTGCTGCTGATGCTGATATTGCTGCTGCTGATGATGATGCTACTACTACTACTACTACTACTGCTGCTGATGCTGATATTGCTGCTGATGATGATGATGCTACTACTACTACTACTACTACTACTACTGCTGCTGATGGTGATGCTGATATTGCTGCTGATGATGATGATGCTACTACTACTACTACTACTACTACTACTGCTGCTGATGGTGATGATGATGATGATGCTGATGATGATGATGCTGCTACTACTACTACTACTACTACTGCTGCTGATGCTGATATTGCTGCTGATGATGATGATGCTGCTACTACTACTACTACTACTACTACTACTGCTGCTGATGGTGATGCTGATATTGCTGCTGATGATGATGATGCTGCTACTACTACTACTACTACTACTACTGCTGCTGATGCTGATATTGCTGCTGCTGATGATGATGCTACTACTACTACTACTACTACTACTGCTGCTGATGCTGATATTGCTGCTGATGATGATGATG